CAAAGTAACACAAATTAAAGTTCTTGACCTGGGCAATAAGGCACGGGTATAGAAAAAAATACAAAAGTACATTGCAGTCCAGGAGCAACGTGAAAAAATTGGTCTTCGAAAAATTTGTAAAAAAATATAAAAGAAAGTGCTCATCATTGACGATGAGACATTTTACCCTACCTAAACTTCCGGATCAAAGTTTTTCAGTGCAAAAATGTTAGTTAATCAAATTACACTTTCAAAACTTTTTAAAAAGTAACCCAACCCACAAAAAAATATGACTGTGCCAGGATGGTCAAAGAGAGACACGTTTCGGAACCTTCCAATTCGGAAGGCAACATTACCCTTGAAACTTAATTTTCAAAGAATTTAAACAACTGACGAATTAACCTCATTAGTTAGCACTGTGAAAAAAATGCTGTGCTGATCTCACCTGATCTTGGTTCCATACAGTACGTACACCAATGTTGTAAAGACTAAATCAAGGGCTAAAAGTAGAATTTTAAACTGTTTTCCAGCCAAAACCTCGGTTTTTAAAAATTCTGTAAATTTTCGAATTTTAGCCCGAATCAAAAAAATCGAAAACATGTCTCTTCAGAATGTTCTACTTGACCTTTACAAATCCAATTCTCTTGAAATTTGAATCTCAGAATTATTTGCCAGTTTCTGAAGTTCATTAAAATTACAAACTCTTTCAAATTTTTAAATTTTCAAAAAATGTTGCAAGTGGATTTTTAATAAGTCTGATAAGTCATTCTGAAGGGACATGTTTTCGATTTTTTTGATTCGGGCTAAAATTCGAAAATTTACAGAATTTTTAAAAACCGAGGTTTTGGCTGGAAAACAGTTTAAAATTCGCGCCGCGCGCTCAAATTAGCGCATTAGGAAAATTGCAAAAATATAGGTATGCTTATTTTTTGTGGTGAACAAAATAAAATTGGTCCCATTGAGATCTGAGTTGTACACGTGAAAGACTTGCATGATAGTGCCTTCGTTTTTGTGTTAAAGCTTGATTTATTTTTTGGGTTTACTAAATACAAGGAAATTCACGCAGTCCTTCCTTGTTAACTTTACAAAATCCATAAAGTTACAAACTTTTACTAATATTCTAAGGAAAATTAGCTCGCAGAGTTTTCTAAGTTTACTCTTAAGGACGTCATTGTTTTGTACAACTTGAAATGTTTTATGAAATTTACGCATTTTACAAAGTTGCCAACGTGAAATGCCTAATTATAATTTATTGGAAAACTGTTTTGTCAATAATTTTAATATTTAATTTGTAGCTTGAAAACTACTTAATTACTAGCAGAAAAATTCCCTCCTGTAATTGAATATTACTTAAAATTTACACAATTCGAAAATTATATCTCCCGATTTCATAAAATTTGCACAATTTAATAATTACAAAGATACGAGTGAAAAAGTGACATATTGACAAATTTAAAAGCCATATTGAATTTTGTTTGAAATTTTAATTTACTCTAATAAGTTATAGATACATTCTGTGCATTGAAGCAATTATACCCAAAAAATGACGAACTAATTTGATGAAGAACAAATATTGACAAATCGTTAAATTTGGCCAAATCTCCAAAATTACAATTTTACCAAACAATTCGTTTTTACAGCCTAAATCAGTATAGCTCGACAAGCTGAGAGGAAGGAGTAGGGTCCTTTTTGGGTGCTGGGGGGCCACGGGTTTTTACACTCTTAGAAAAATCAATACCAGATCAATACCAGGCGGTATTCATATGTGACTCTACCGCTTTGGTATTGATTTAATACCAAGCGGTATTATTTTGTGTTTATACCGTCGTGGTATAAAAATGTGACTTGGGGTATTGATTTTTTTGTGCATGATGGTATTGCTTGTTAATACCGTGGGGTATGAATCTAATACTATGCGGTATTAACGAGTTATACCATACATTAAGAAAAATAACGGTTTAGCGCTGCTTGGTATTGATTCAAATGTTATTTATTTTATACAATTACAACTTGTAATTTACAAATCAGAAAATTATAAATGACATACCTACATACATAAATATTTACAAAAAATGGAAATCAACCAGATACAGCATAGTGGAATAAGTTCATTATAAAGCTTTAGAACAAATTGAAGAGATACTGAAGAATCCGTCCTTTTACAATCAAGAGGTGTGTAAATAAATACTAAGAAAGCAAATATTTTGTTTGCAGTCATTAAATGCAAATATGTAAAAAAATTGTAACACCGCCCTATTATTTTCAGGTTTCCCTTCTTTCAAAAAATAATGGAAACACGCTGGCCCAGGATGTGTACGCGATGCTTTCTTCCATGATTGGAAATGATCTGCGTAGCAAAATCCGATACACAGCAAAGAGCAACAAGATCCCTTTTGCAGATCGTTTATCAGCTCAGCTAATTAGAGGTCAGTTGCTATAATTTATTTTTAATAAATGAAAAATGAAAAATTAATATTTATACAAACACACAACAGATGCTGTGAAGACTGGAAATTCACACCCTTCTGTGAAAGATACTGAAATAAATCAGAAAATTGGATGCTGGTTCCGAATGAAAATTACTTCAAATAATGCTGACGTCACATCAAACACAGAAACGTCGAGTGGAGAAACGACTTCAGGAAGCGCTGAAACGGATACGGACAACGTCGACTCCAACGTCGACGGATCAAGTAGTCTGGCACAATAATAATAATAGTGTGGAGGTAGACATTCTCACCGATAACTTGGAGGTTGTTAGTGATAGTTTTAGGTTAAGTAGTATTAGTGATAACTCAGGTAGCGATAAGAATGAATTGCAAATTGTGGAGAACAATGTTTCAAAATTATGGCAGCTAGGTAACTGGGCAACAAACTATAATATTAATCACAATGCATTGTCACCACTTTTAGGACTACTTAGACAATGGATGCCGTTCGAAGGTTTTCCTATAGATCCACGTACATTATTGAAAACAGACAGAAATATCAGCACTATAGCAATAGCAGGGGGGTCATTTCATCACTTTGGATTAACATCACAAATTACGAAAATTATTAAATGTGTCAAGTTATCGAAGAATCAGCCTCCAATTTTAAGAAGTATTGAGAATTTAATATCGATTAAGATAGGTGTAGACGGGCTTCCAATTTCCAAAAGTTCAAATCAGCAATTTTGGCCGATTCTTGGTAAAATAGACCAGGATCCTTCCTCAACTGTTTTTCTTATTAGCTTATTTTATGGGTGCCAAAAACCACAATCAATCGAGTCCTTCTTATCACCGTTTGTTAATGAAATGAAGGCTCTGGAGGATAACGGTTTAAAAGTAGGGGACATTATTTACTCTGTTCGAATAAGTTGCATCACAGCAGATGCACCTGCGAGAAGTTTTTTGAAACAAATTAAACCACACAATGCATATTTCGGTTGTGAGCGTTGCTACAGACGGGGTACTTATAAAAATTCTAGAATTCTTTACCCAATTAAGAAAGAATGTGATCAATACACTGACCAATCATTCAAAGAACGCTGGTACGAGTCACATCATAAATTAATTAGTCCTTCTCCTTTAGAAACTCTGTCAATAGGAATGATCTCACAGATTCCACTAGATTATATGCATTTGTGTTTATTAGGTACTATGAAAAAGTTATTACTTGTTTGGACTGAGGGCAGAAAACCACACAAATTGTCTAATTTGCAAAAAACTATAATTTCTGATCGGCTCACGTCCTTTCGATCTCAAATATCTAGAGACTTTTCGCGAAAATGTAGAAGTCTTCAAGACCTCAGGCATTGGAAGGCTACGGAATTTCGATTATTTTTACTTTATGTTGGTCCAGCTGCTCTACGGAAAATTTTAGATGACAAGAAGTATCAGCATTTCTTGTTATTTCATACAGCAATTTATATATTTCTCTCTAATTGTTCAAAGAAGCCAGATTGGGTTAATTTTGCACAAGATTATTAGATAATTTTGTAAAACAAATTCCAAGTCTATATTTCCCAGAACTAATGATCTATAACATGCATAGTTTATTGCATGTAAAATTAGATGTTGAGAATCATGGACCCTTGGATAATTATAGCGCATTTGAATTCGAGAATTATATGCAAACTTTGAAACGAATGATTCGATCTAAATCATCCCATCTTAGTCAGGTAATTCACCGAGTAGGTGAAATTGATAGATTTTCATCTTTAGCAGGAGGCAATAAGTTGTTAATTAGTGGACCAAGTACAAAAAGTGGTGACAATGTGTGGTTAACTTCTGATAAAAAGTACTGCATGCTAATTAGTAAGATTTCTGACACCGATTTTGAGGCTAAGTTTTTTAAAGTTAAACAAGATGTGGAATTTTATCCATGTAGAAGTTCTAGACTAGACATATGTATTTTGAGTGATCTATCACACAACTGTATTGTAATTTCCTCCATCTCCTTGCGCCGGAAATGTATAATTCTGCCGATCAATGACGATAAATACTTTTGTGTCCCAATTTGTAATTCATCTTTAAATAATATAGAATAGTTTAACATTTATGTATCATTAAAATGTTGAAGTTGTAATAAATAACGAAATGAAATTTGAGTATAAATAAATTTGTATTAATTTCATGCGTATCATTAGCATAAGATTTGCACCAAAGTCGTACCAAATTCACACAAAATTCTCACCACATTTATGAATATTCATTATCACCAAATTCGTATAGAATTCGTACATACTTTTTTGTGTTAATTTTGTACATATATTGCACAAACAAACTTGCATTGAGAATTTGTTAGTGCGAATTTTGTGCAAACGACTTGTACAAAATTAATACCAATCGGCTTCACATCTTAACGGTAAATATGCATTAATCTAGAAGTACAAATTTTGTACAAAAGTTGAAGATTTTGGTTCGTCGGGAGTGTAGCAAAATATTAAGTATTTTCTAAATATGAAATTCCTTGCATGAATTGAGCTTCATGCATTTTATGCACGTTTGTGAAACATGCACGAATAAAATAATATTATATTTACAAGCCAAATGTATCTTATTTATTACAGTAAGCTCGGTTTGATTGATGGGCCCATGAACAGTGAGATAGGAAGAAATGAGGATCAATATGACATGTTTTGTTTTACAAATATTTAAAAAGGATAGGGTATGTGTAAAAGTTTAAAATATAATCATATGCCAATATTTTTTTAAAATTATTTTGAGCTCTAATTGTCATTTTTTGTTTCATCACTCATCAATATCCGTCCACTCGTCGTCAGAAAGGAGGCTTGAGGCTGGAAATAAAACAAAAATATGTACTGATAATTTTTGTTACATTTTTCTCGTCAACGCCGGATTTACATAGGTAAAGCTAACCTTCCTGGTGAACAGCCGTTTCAATTCCAGCCTTGAAAATTTGTTCTCCTTGGTGATCCGGATTTTCAGCTACAGCGCTGGCATTATCTTTCAAAGGGTCGTTGAGATTTGTTTCTCCTATTGTCACTATAATACAACAAAGATTAGATGATGCAAAAATAAGTAAAAAATATTCGTATTTTAAATTTTTACTTACCAATGAATTCGTTTGTTCCACTTCTTTTCCAATAAATTTTTGGGAGAACTTCTTGGAAATCCTGGGAATTATCATCCCAATAAATCTTTACAAAAATGCAAAGCAATATTAATATTGCTACTACTAGGCAAACCAACATTGCAAAGTACGCAAAATGGTTTGGTTGGGTCGTGTGGATGGTTTGGGCTTCAAAATTAGCTATGACGCCTACATCTGTAATAATGTAAATATTTATATCAATGTTTCATTAGAATTAAGCGTGGAGACATTTGGAGGACCATAGTTGCAGATGCCATTTGGTAAAAATTAATAGAAATTAATAATCATTTACGAAAGAGTTACTCAAAATGGTTTTTCATGTAAACATTAGTAAATGGACGAATATTTGTTTGCGCATCCACAGTTATAGAGGTCGTGCAAACCCCATTAATTAATAAAGAAATTCACGGTTAATAATCTGTGAATAATCTGATTATTATCAATTTTTTAGAAAATATATACTTACGTTGCTTTAGATTGTATTCCATTTTACACTGAATCAAAATTAAGCTTACAACTAAAATAATTATTTAGCAAACTTATGAGATTATAGTGGGTATAGTGGGTAGTTCTCAGACTTTTTGATTAAAGCACGTACACGAATGTTCACATTAGTTAAATTTAAATTGGAATAACAAATATTTTTAGTCGGGCTAAAAATTTAAGCTATTTGCATATGTATGTGTGAATAATTTTCTCAGTGAATGGATGACGTGACAAATTGTATTAAGTTATGAACATTACATATTTATGCAATCCACAAATTTAATTTAACTTGTCGATGTTGCATATTTTATAAACATTTCTCCACTCGCAGTTAACGTCCGCGCATGCATACGTACATACATATATCTGAGTCATATTTATAGGTACGTATGGTCGACAGAGCATCAAGAACATGTACATTTAAATTACCACAGTGGGTGTGGATGGTTGAGGAGATGGGAAAATTGTTCCATGAAATTTTATCATCGCTTGACCATGTTATATATAGGATTAGACCATCCAATCTTGGTATGGTAATGCACAATTCAACCTCACAGCTTCCCCACCCATGTACATGGTACACGTCACATAGTATGTAAATATATATATAGTTTTAGCGTGAGCTAATTCGAAAAAGTAAATTCATGTCTAGCCTCTTGGATTTTGGGATCATCATTTTGATATGTATGCATTTATAGAATACGAAGTCATAATTAATATTTAATCATCATCGCTAGTCGTCTATGCATCGATGCAGAATGTGCTGAGTTTGATAAAAATAAAAAAAATATACTTTAACAAATTGGAGAAATTGCTGATGATAGTTAACTAATACAACTGAATGTATCTTGGTCACTATTCACAAAACCAATACTTATGTATGTATAGCCGGATGCAAGTATGAATAATAACGCCGGTTAAATAAATATGTATGTGATCAGATATTTTATTTTATTAGTAGCGAGTTTGAAATTTATTTGGTCAGCTAAGATCTCGCTCATGTTTTAATTTGAAAAATATCTCAGGAAATGAATAAACTTTGCTTCATCTAAATACGTATAAATAATATACAAAAAATAAACTCATTTACATAAACAAGTTGTTAGTGTGGCATTTAAAATATTTATTAAAAATATGCTTGATTTCAATTTTTTTTTAATTTTGAAAAAGTAATAAAAATAAATTTCGTGATAACTAATGTGAATAACTTTCATGGATTTATTGTATCCACTGAATTAGTCTCAGAACTCTTCAATGAAAAATCAAAATTAACTTGATGCATAAAAGCTGAAGTTTGAGTTTTGTGCAGTGATCTAATTCGTTTAACATTCATGGATTTTAAAAAAAGTAAGTACTACCTTTATTTGAATAGTTAGATGTTGAGGTAAATTCACACAATCCTTGGTACATAAAATCCTTAAGTGTTTAAACTTACAAATTAATACCTACCAGTTTGTCTTATGTATGCAACAAGTCATCAACTCGTGAAAGATTAAGGTTTTAAACATGTTTGGACCCCAAGATAATTTTCGGGGATACAAAAAAATGCAAATTGATAATTTTTTGGCCGGCTTATTAACGGCTCATTCACGACTCATTTATGATGCAGCAATAATTTTAGCCTCAAAATGAAAGGGGGTCCTTATTTGCATTTGGAAATATTTCAAATTTATGTAGGAATCCAAAAGTGTTGATAAACTAAATTTTATATTAATTTGTAGCTCACTGAAAGACATTTAATTATTTAATAGAACACTATTTTCCTTCAAAATAAAATACAAAATATTTGCAATCCCTAGTCAGATGAAGGCTTCCTTTTATTCCGTAAAAGTGTGCATAGCTATTATACAAAACTTGTACGGATTTTAAAATTATCAATGATTGAGGGAATTTCCTCGTGAAATAATATGTATTTAGTAATTAGTAATGAGTTTACAAGTTTGGCAAACGTCAAAAATATTTTAAACATTTTATAAAAATATTATTTACAAACTTGACGTGAGTGTGCCTGACTTTCCTCAATAAGTCATTATGCTTATAAATACTCACGGGTGTTACGTTAACTTAACTGTTTAATACTGTGACGAACACGTTTTCATTTTATATTTTCTTGTAGTGATTTTGTGGACCTTGGAAATTTGTGGAAGATAACGAGGAAACGAAAGGTGAGGAAAAATGATAAGTTGTCAAATGTCTCGTTCTCCATATACTAGGTTGAGATACACTATCGTAAGAATTAGCTTTGAGTCTGTAAATACATATGTGTGAAGGTTTTAAATTCTGGCTGAGGCTTGGCTACTATTCTCGTCGATCGGTTGACATAAGCCTTTTACCTGATTTATGCCTACATACATATTTCAGATTAAAAACCTACAGTGTGCAGTGTTTATATAGCCCGAGTCAGGGACAGAGTCCTCTTCCAAATGTTTGTCAAGTGACCGGTACAAACCAACTACTAATAGTAGTTGGTACCGGTCATTATGGGGAAATTTTTGTCGATTGCGAATTATTCGCAATCGTCGCTGCAAAATTGCAGCTTCTTTAACCAATTCCAAAAACCCCACTGGGTCCTCCTGGCAAAAAAATCTTAAAGTTTACTTTACATTTATTAAGCTAATCTAACCCTGCAGGACCACGCCAACTTTTAGTCGTCTACGCCCGTTTTCCAAACCAATGGGGGTGACCAGTGTGTGCAAAAAGTCAGCCTTGTTGCTATTTGTTCCTATTTGCCTTTTTGCGTGCCTTTTTGAACTGTATAGAAAACGCAATGAATAGCTTTCACTTTAATTTTATTTCTTCTCATCTCGCCAATTCAAGTATGACCAATTTCTCGAATATCAGTTACCAATTTTTAAAATAGCTACTTTTAGAAACGGTAATAGAAGATAGAGATAATAGAAACGGTATGGGTCACCCCCTAGGCTACTCTGGTTCCACTTTGTTCGCTTTTAACTTGATATATTTCCATACGAGACCATTAAGTATCACCATACCGAATTTCATCTTTTTAAGACAATTTATAAAAATCGGTATGGGCCACCCCCTAGGATCGCTCCACATAAAAATTTTACTAATTTAACTTCATATTATTTCATTAGGAGCTATTAGAAACGTCAATGGTAAATTTCAGCTCAATTAAATGATTTTCAAAAATCGATATGGGTCACCCCCTCGGGTCCCTCCAGATAAAAAATTTGACCAATTTCATTTAATGTTCTTCCTTAAACCCCATACGCAACCTATCTACCAAATTTCAACTCGATATGACGATTTTGACAAATCAGTATGGGTCACCCCCTAGGGTCTTTCAAAATAAAATTTTTTCCAACTTAAATTCATACTCTTTCATTAGACACCATTAGCAACCTCAGTGCCAAATTTCTGCCTTCTATGACAATTTTGAAATTTTGATGCATAATACCCCATCCACCTATATGACCCCCACTGGTCAACCACTTGACCGATTTCGCCCATCTTCGAACTTAACTCCTCATTTGCCCCATACTACATGTGTAGCAAATTTCAAGCCGATAGGATGAGTTTAACGAGAGTTATCGTAAGACGGACAGACGGACGGACGGACGGACGGACGGACGGACGGACATGATGGTTCCATAAGCCCTTACTCGGGCTAAAAAGTTAAAAAAACATTAAATCAAAACCGGCAGAATTGTTTAGAAATATGCTGACACGAATTTACATGCTAAATAAGTGACCATTTTGGGGAGGCAGTTGCATGGTAACCGAACGCAAATGATTTCCCCAGACCTTGGTAAATGAAATACCAAATGAAAATTAGATAAAAATACATTGCCTCATTTATTTTGACCAGGTTAGTGTCGATCGAAAACAAATGTAATTAATCTGAAATTTGTATACGGGACCATCTGCCAATTCATTAGCATCCGAAAAGGAGAAAACCCGCAGTAAACTTAGATTTGCCAAAATTTGAAGGCGTATTTTCTCTGAGGACGCAAATTTTTCAAAAAACTTGGCCATTTGCAAGGAATGGGTTTGAAAATTTTCATATTAATTAAAGTTGGTAAATCTGTGGGCATTCGCTGGGAGACCTCCATGGTTAGTGCGGTTTAATTGATCGGGATGTGTTAGAGCATTTGATGATTCGATTTTAGCTCGACTGACGCGTAAAGTTATGGAATCTCCTCTCGATTTTTGTGGCAGCATTGCATATTAGTATCTAGGTATGCACTCTAAGAAACCCAATAACTAAGTTATCTATGTGACTCTACCGCATGGTAATTAATTTATTATTGAGTGGTAGAAAAATAGTTACCAACTGTTCATATTTTCAAATTTCGCGACCGGGGTTATTACCGGTTTGGTAAAAAAAGTGTCTACTACTCAATAATAAATTAATTACCATGCTGTAGAGTCACATAGACACTCCGCCTGGTAATAACTTAGTTACCGGGTTTCTTAGAGTGAATGCATACGTCTCCCGATGTACATACATCTAAATATGTACATATGTAGATATACATATATGCAATGCAATTACTAAAATGAATAAATAACTGTAAATCTAGAAATACATATATGCATACATCTACATATGTACACTCTAAATAAAATCATTACCAAATCATTACCAAAATGCACACGTATATGACTCTGCAGAAACGGTAATAATAACCACCAGCTGGTAAAGAAATTGATTGAACCCGAAGTGGTAATAAAGAACACTTTTTGGGATAAAATTAATACCATGATGTATGAGAGATGCACTACAATGTGTAGTAAAATGTCTACCGCCTGGTAATAAACCATACCACTTTGTGCACGGCGTGCTATTCATACCGGTATTAATGCTTTGTGTTATGTATACCCCATTATTACCAAATGTTGTGCAGATTTCCACCGAAAAGAATAGATTTTTTGTTTTTCTTTACAATAATCTTTCAATCAATTATATTTATTGTAAAACAATGAGACATAATCACATAATTATAAAATTTAAGTATAATGCAAACTATGCAGTTACATACATACACATGTATTTATACATATTAACATGAAACTTAAATCGAACTAAATATTTTATAGTTTTGCCGTACACTTACCTTAAATTTTTGTTTCACTGAAAAACTAAACACAAAAGATTATTATTTTTATTATTTACTTGTTCCTATTAAGATGGTGCTCGATCACCATCTTGATAACTTATCAATGATAAGGCACAAACATATGATAATTTGATTTGATACT